CTATAGGGAAATGCAGGAGGAGGGCAATATGTACACAAGAAAGAGCTGCAGCTCAGTGTGCCCAATGGAAGGGGAAATGCAGAGGGCAGGCGAGGGGTCTCAACACCATGGTGCGCCTCAGGCTTGCACTGGCTTGGGATCCATCTCCTGCCTACAGCCAGTCACACTATGCGGCTCTCTGGCTGAGCAGTATTTTCATACCTCAGTGGGTGTGAAATGCCTTGTAGTGCATTTCCATTTTCTAATCAACCTCTAGTGATGGTCCGGAGATAGAAACAACAGAATATAAAGTTTCTAAATTGGAACAAAGAATGTAAATACCAATACTATCACTATATTACTTGATATAATATCGTATATAACATATATAATAATAATTATATTATATATTATATAATGCATATTATCTATAATGTTATGTCATAATATATTATAGATAATGTACATTATACAATATTTTATGTATATTACATTATAATATAATATAATATATTATATATAATATACAATATATATTATACAATACATGTAATATATTATAATATATAATATACAATATATTATATTATATATAATATAAATATATATTATATATCATGACATAATATATATAATATATGTAATATATAATACATATAGTATATATAATACATATAATATATATAATATACAACACATATATCATATATAATACATATGACATATAATATATATTATATTATATATTATGACACAATATATTATATATAGTTATATATATAATAATTATGTAATATATAATGACATAATATATTATAGATAATAGTCATTATATAATTATATGTCATAATATATGTGTTAATATATATAACATATATCATATGCTACATAACTATACATTATGTTATTTTATTATATTATAATTATATTATCTATTAATATTAACAATATTAATTAACCATATAAATAATATTTATATTATATATTATATCATTATTATATGATATAACGATATATAATGATCATTATATTTATATAATAATGATATAATATATGACTATAATATATATAACATATAATGGATGTAACTATATTATATGATTATATAATGAATAATGGCTAATTATATAGCTCATATATACATATACATATATATCTCATACATATGCTATATATAATAGTATAATATTATACTATTATAACTATATAACTATGTCAGTTTCCATGGGGAATCCTGAGAAAAGTTCTATCCTGTGGGGAGTAGTGGTGAGGAGGGACTGGACTTGGAAGGGAAACCTGGAGAGAGCACACAGACCCCTGTGCTTAGTGTTCATTGTAGATAGAAAGAAACAGCTTTATTGATTAGCATAAGCAAAGGCAACTTGGGGCTGCTGAGCTGGCCTGGGACAGGAGTTGGACTTTTCTAAGCACTTCTCATGTGCTAGATTTTGTGTGAGGTCATTGTCACAGAAGCCCTGTGAGGAAACCATGATTATCTCACTTACATAAAGGTTATGATGGGCTGGACATGTTATCACATGCCTGTGACCATTCTAGTTCTTGTGAGGAGCCAAAGGAGAATCATGAGTTCAAGGCTAGCCTGGACTACACAGTGATACTGTTTTTCAGAAAAGAAAGTTGCTGGGTGCATACAGTCCTAGATGTGAGGATCTAGGTTCAAAGCCAACCCAGTAGAAAAGTCAGTCAGACTGTTATCTCCAACAACTCCCCCAAAGCTGGAAGTGGGGCTGTAGCTCAAGTGATAGAAGAATACCAGCCTTCAGAGAAAAGGCTAAGTGAGAGTGCCCAGGCCCTGAGTTCAAGTCCCAGAACCTCTCTGTCTCTCTGTCTCTCTCGGTCTGTCTGTCTCTATATCTGTCTCTCACTATAGTGGAAAACCCAAGTTCTAGTACTTGCTCAAATTCCACAGCCAGCAAATGGCAGAGCTAGACTCTGAACCAAGGCTGGTCTGAATTCAGGCAGGAAGCAGAGGGTGTCATTAAGCGTAGGCTAACTCCTTGGTAAGAAGAGAAATGTTTTTTCCAAATGGGCAAACAACGCATACTTGCTTTCTCCCTGAACCTTGAATGAAGAATTGGTTCCTTTGCAGAATCTGGGGTGCTTTGATTGGTTTGTGGGAACTAAGACTCTCTTGCCCAATAGGACTTCAAAATTTTCACCTGGGAGGGTATTACCAGCTCAGGGAGGGGCTTCTCTTTTTCCATATCCCTGTACCTTCACTGGGCCTCCAGAAAACACCAACTAGCTTCGCTGGGGCTCAGGAAGAGGAGAGACGCTGGAGCCCAGAGTTTTTGTTTTCCACATCTTCAGTCCCATCTCCATGCTCTAAGCATCCTCAAAGGCCCCTTAATGGTCCTGACCACCCCTCAGCTGTGAGCTGGCCCCAGCCCCTTCCTGTGTCTCGCTGGGAGCTTCTGCCTCCACTGAGCCTCTGCCTTGTGGAAGGGAGGCAGGCAGGCAGGCAGGCAGACCCGAGAGAATATGTATGTCAGTTAAGGTTTGTCGTTTACACGTGGAGATCATTAACGAGACTTATTTTTAAATTGTAATTGCAAAATGTAAATGCTCCCCAAACTGATGTGTAATTGCTACCCCCTCCACCCCAGCCCTTCCCCTCTGGTGCCAGCCTTGCAAGGAGAGAATTAGAAAATAAAAAAGGGGGTGGATTATGTAAGCAAAACGAGTTTTTTAAAAAGAGAGAGAGAGAGCGCTAAGAATTGAAGTGAGACAGCTGGCGGCTTTTCTGATTGCCACACTTCCAGCATTAGCTGCAAAAATTGTCCTTGCCAGTTGCATCCATCCATCCATCCAAGGAATAGTGTCAGCTGTACTAAGTCCCCAGGACAGACATGCTGCTTGCCACTCACTTTGAACCACAGCCCATGGTCAGTGGGTGTGTACATCTTGTGGAGTGCAGCGGGCCACAGGAGGGGATAATATTTGATCTTGCTTCTGTCTAACCCATAAAACCATTCTATTCTCCAGAGAGACACCTCCAGTGTGGAAGGTAGGAGTTGTCCACCCCTATCGTACCCCCTAGGTAATAGTGGGGTGTGGGGGGGGACCCAGAAACCACAGTCTTTACCTGGAGAGAGTAAGGTTCTCCTGAAAAGGCCATAGGATGAGAATTGGTTCCTCTCCACTGCCCTTGAACATACTCGGTACTGGTTGTGCAATTGTGGAAGCCTTGCCCATACTTTCTTGTTTTACTTGCTCTCCCAGCCTGCCACATGGGCAGTGAACTGCCTGCAGTATCATTGTGCACAGGCTCCAAATGATTAAGGTCATCCTGTCCCTGGGGTGGAGTGGCCCAATCAACAATGGATGGCTTTCCTTCAAGGAGGAGGAGCCAGCCTAACCTTCACTACAGCGATGACACACAGCTCCCCAGACAGGAAGTGACTCTACCAGCTACCTGCTTTGGAAAGCTGGAGTGGAACTTTCACCTGTGTTGCTCTCTCTCCCTCTCCCTCTCTGCAAGGATTGCGAGGAATTTGGCAACGATTACTGCCGATTTCCTGTAAGGTCACCCTGTCCCAAAGACATCAAGGACATTTACAAAATCCTGGACAAGGTCCTTCGAGTTGGGGCTTGATCTCTTTGTAAGAGATCCAACCCTTACAATAGCATTAAAAAAGAAAAGGCAAAAACAAAAAGCAAAATAAAACAACAACCACAGGGAGTGAGGTGCTGGGTGGCTCCTAGCTAATCAGGAAGCTGATACCTGAGAATCGTGGTTTGAAGCCAGCCTGGACATGAAAAATCCTGAGACACTTGCCTCAGCAAAGAGCCGGAACTGTGATTCAAGTGGTAGAGTGCGAGCCTTGAGCAAAAAAGCAAGCAAGAGTACAAGGCCCTGAGTTCAAGCTTGAGTACCAGCACAAAGAGAGAGAGAGAGAGAGAGAGAGAGAGAGAAAACAGAGTTGATACAGCACTAGCTTTGAGCAGAAGAGCTGAGGGACAGTGCCCAGGCCCAGTGTTCAAGCCCCACGACTGACAACCAAAAAAAAAAAGAAAAGAAAAAAGTTGTTTCTAAAAATTACGTATCTAAATCCCTGCCATACAGGTATTTGCCCCTATGACAAAATGAAGTTACTTAAGAAAATACAAAAGCCAACAAGCCCGTTGAGCATGATGGCTTAGAGTTCTAATCATAGTTACCTGGTGGTGGAAATCAGGAGGGCTGAGGTATGAGGCCACAACAAGCAAACTAAAAACATCAAAAACTAAAACAACAACAGCAACAAAAACAAAGAGGCCTCATCTCAACCTATAAAAGGCTGGGCTTAGTGGGACAAGCCTCTCATCACTGCTAAACATAAGTAAGAGGATCACAATCCAGGCCAATCAGGCACAAAGCAAAGGCCCTGTTTGAAAAATAGCAAAGCAAAAAGGGTGAGGGATGTGGTTCAACTGCTTAGCAAGCCTGGGCCCTGAGTTCAATCCCTAGAACTGCTAAAAATCCAACCAACTACCCAAATCTGATAGAGTCATATGAGATTCTCTGATCCATAATCAAAGGACCTATTTCTCCTAGTTCATCTACTGATGAACACCTGGCCAGAGTACCTTCAGTGTGCATCAGAAATCACTGGGGTACAAATTTGTAGGCCTTCACCTCAGCACACAGAATCAGAGTCTCTGGCTGTGGGGTCCAGGAATTGCATTTGTCACCAACACCCCCTAGTTAACACTCAGGTGAGAACAATTGTTTTAGAGAGTTGTGATCATCATCACAAATGTACATAATACCCTTCTCTCCGTAACAACAACTCCTTGCTCACAGAACACGAAAGCTGAGTACACAGGGACGAAACACAGCCCTTGTCCCTAAGCTAAGAATGTAACACAAAGACATGAAAAACCCACCTGGCATTTGCTGTCTCAGGCTGTCTATGCTGCGCTGATACAGCGCAGGTGGTCAGCAAACCCTCAAGGCAAAAGGCGTACTGCCCAGGGGATCGGCCTAAGGTGTTCAAGAACAGAAAAGGAGTCCTTACTGTTGGGTGATCCCGTCGTCTCTGGGATCCTCTTCGTGGGGGGTGGGGGCTTACACCCCTTTTCTCACTTCCAGCTGAACTAGAAAGGCTTCCTATCCCCGGGAACCAGAGCACCTGCGTGGAAAGGAAGAGCAGTCCCCATCAGACACAAAGGACTCCCGGCTCTGTTCACTCACTCTTCTCTTCCTCCCTGGGATATATTCTATTCTAGAAGGGATGGGTGCTATTTCCTCTATACCTATCCCTACCATATTTACCAGTCAACTCTGTCTCCTCAGTGTGCTTGCTGAGGCTTCTCCCCCCTCTCCACCCGCCCCCACCCCTCCCTGCCCCGGGTTCATCTGGAGCCAAATCTCATCACAGGTTGAAGAACTCTGTTGTTGCCTGCATGCTCTCCTGGGTCCAAGTGTGCTGCGGCCTGTCTCTGGGAGTGATCATGGGCCCTAGGAAAAGCGGCAGACACCTGTTCCAGGACTCTGGGGAAGTTAGAGGAAGGGGCAGCGGCTGATGCGAATGACAGGCTTGGCTAGGGGGTCTGCAGGGACAGCATTGGGGTGGGATCGGAAGCCACCTGTGGGCAGCAGGGGAGAAGAGCTGGGAAAGGAAGGGATCAAAAAGCAGGGAAAGACAACCTGCAGCCTAACAGTGGTTTTGACCACATGACATTTGGATTGAGCTTTAGGTTAAAGGGTATTAATTTTATTTTCTCAGTATTTGAAAAGAAGCAAGGCGTGTGCACTACAGTCCGAGTGGCCAGCCCTGGTATGAGAGACAAAGCTACATACCTCCTAACAGTCCCCCCCTTTCCCTTGAGGATGTGTTGCTAATTTGACTCCAACAAGTCAGGATGGCAGGGTGGCAGGAAGAGGGGTCTGCTCCCCATCTCAGTTGTACTTTGGGGGGCAGCATTGGACAACATCACCAGCCAAGAGTCCCAGCCCTGCACCAGAGGGAAATGCATCTTTAACATTAACAGCTCCTTCCTAGTTAACACCATCTTACTCTCCTTGTAAAAACACATTTACACCTTAGTAAAGAATGTAATTAACTAGTGACATGACAACAGGAGGAGCTAAGCAGTAGCCAGGGTAGGAGTGGCATGGAAGAGGTGGAAATGTAGATGTTTGCCTGAGCCTCAAGTGTGCATGTGAGCACCACGTGTGTGTGTGTGTGTATGTGTGTATCTCTGTGTGTGTCTGTGTGTGCAAACTGCTGCAGAGGTGAGGGTGGTAGAAAGTTAGTATCTGAGGTTCTAAGGGAGGTCTAAATTCCCAGCGGCAGGACCGAGGAAGCTGGGGTACCGAGGAAGCATTAGCTGAAAGACTTTCCAGGGGTGGACAGGTAGCTATGAGCAAATGCTCTCTGGATTGTCTGATCTGGGACAGCCACACAGAAGAACCCAAGAGATCAAACCAATGGAATGAGTAGGCACAGTGAGAACCGGGTTATTCCTGTGTCATTTCTCCTCGTACACTGCTCCCCCTTCATGATGACTTTGTCCTTAAACTCTGTGACAATTCACAGGTCTCTGGCCATGCAGACTGCAAACTCAGGACATGTTTCTGATCTCTACTTCCTCCAAGCCCTCACCTAATTTTTACCACCACTGTCTCTTTTCTCCTTCCTTCCTTCCTTCCTTCCTTCCTTCCTTCCTTCCTTCCTTCCTTCCTTCCTTCCTTCCTTCCTTCTTTCCTCCTTCCCTCCCTCCCCCCTCCCTCTTTCTCTCAGAGGGCCTGGGTGCTATCTCTGAGCTCTTTTTGTTCAAGGTTAGTGCTCTACCACTCGAGCCACAGTGTCACTTCTGGCTTTTCTGAGTAGTTTATTGTCACGGACTTTTCTGCTTGGGTGGGCTTCCAACGTTGATCCTCAGATCTCAGCCTCCTGGGTAGCTAGATTACAGGCGTGAGCCACTAGTACCTGGCTTTCCTCTCTTTCTAGTCAGGGCTGAAGAGGTCTTTCTTTTCTTTCTTTTTTTTTTGGGGGGGGGGTCTGGTCGTGGGGCCTGAACTCTGGGCCTGGGCGCTGTCCCTCAACTCTTCAGCTCAAGGCTAGCGCTCTACCACTTGAGCCCCAGCACCACTTCTGGCTTTTTTCTTTTTGCTTATGTGGTACTGAGGAATCGAACCCAGGGCCTCATGCATGCAAGGCAAGCGCTCTACCACTGAGCCACCTTCCCAGCCCAAGAGGTCTTTCTTTTCCAACCCCTTGAAACAACCTAACCAGGGACCCTACCAGTCAGGATCTCAGTTCCTCTTCATCCATCCCATCGACCCCTCAGTGCATCCGAGCGGGGGACTTTATCCCCACTCACTGAGGACCCTGGTGCCTGCCAGATGCAGCCAGAACAGCAACAGCACTCACTGCGCTTCACCAGCTCACAGCGGGCTCACCACCTTCTCCAGGACTTTCAGGAGCTCGTTGCTCACAGAAGGTACTCACCAACATTGTTAACTGCCTTAGAGCAAGTACAACCTTCTGGATGTCTCTCAGTCTTTCTAGACTTATCTTCCACTGTACTTCTTTTATGAAAACACACCTTTTCCTTTCCATTCTCCATACCTGGCCACAGCTTCCCACTAAGGCTCCAATTCTGCCTTCCTACCTGACAAGACCTTAGTAGCCCTTCTTCACTATTCAGCTTCAATGACCTGGCAGGGCTACCTTCATAGCCAGAAGCCATTTTCCCCCCCATTTCTGTGTTTCCAAGCAAGTGCTGTTTGTCATTCTCTGGATGTTTGTGTCACCTTGCATCTGGAGCTATGGTTATCTTAGACGTCTGCCTTCTCTTTTCTAAATGCAACCTCCTCCTGGGCAGAGACTCTGGATCTTTGTAAATTTGGGGTTCACAGAGGACCAGCATATGTAGGAGGCTTGGGGAAGTCAAGCGCATGCTGGGATTATGATCAAGTGGTAAAGGTCTAGCCTAGCATGCAGAGAATTCCTGGGATTGATCTTTAGTACCACAAAAAGAAGCAAGTGTGGAGCTTGCTTAGGAAAACAGCAGCAAGTGCTATATCCTCTGACTCCAGCTATTTTATTTTTCTACCCTCCTCCTCCTTTGCTCTCTCTTTTTTCTTGTATTTCTTATCAATTCAGACACTTGCCATTGTAAGCACTAGACCGCGGCTGGACACATTGAGGTTGACGTGTCTAGAGAGGCATCTAGGCCCATTCCTGGGAGCCTTATAGTGCCAGCCTCAACCACTTCATTTTCCCAGTGCTTAAGGCCCAGGATGTGGCAGGTAAGAGGAGTGTTTGGTGTGCGGCACTCATAGTCCAGTTGGAAGATATTGAGGGGCACTTGCTTGTCACCAGCAGTGTCAGTATGATGCTGCTACAGGCTGTTGGTCTCAACACCCCTTCTTTTGTCAGAGCCCACAAGGACAAGGCCAGGGTCAAGGCTGAGAAGGGAGGAAGTGCGACCCATTTTATGTGGCCTTCACTTCCCATCCTTCCTGTGGCCCTAGGGCACTAAAGTGTCTGGGCCCGCAGCATCCATAGATCCCATCTTTCTGCTCTGGTTGCATCTTTGCCCATCCCCATCCTCGGATGGCCTGGCACAGAGGGCCAACCAGCTTTCCACTCAGGGATTAATAAAAATGCACATCAGCAAGAGGAAGGACGATCAGAGGTGACACCAGCATGCCACACAGGGCGCTGCTTCAGGCCTACAATAGACATAGATTTCTCTTTTCCCAGAACTGACAACTAGCTAGTTCCACTTGTTTCCTGACAGCCTGAGGAAAGCTTGGAGGCAGAAATGTAGCCTGTAATCTCCTTTCTGTCACTGGCAGAGATTCCTGTGGGTATCAGGAGGGCAACTCACATGTCAGAAAGAATGGAGGAGGAGGAAAGATAGTCCAGGGTAGACGGAGAGGAGACTGCCAATGGATGGTGGTTCTCTTTCTTACCTCAGCCACCATATAGTCTACCTCCTTGCTGTGCATCTGTAGTTCATGCCTATAATCCTAGCTACTCAGGAGGCTGCGATCTGAGGATCGCAATTCAAAGCCAGGCCAGGTAAGAAAGTCTGTAAGACTCTCTCCAGTTGACCACACACACACACACACACACACACACACACACACACACGCTCAAGTGGAGTTATGGCTCAACTGGTTAAAGTACAATCCTTGAGCCATAAAAACTAAGGAACAAGCTGGGTGCTAGTGGCTCAGGTTTCTAATCCTAGCTATTCAGGAGGCTGAGATCTGAGGAAGATGGCTCAAAGCCAGCCCAGGTAGGAAAGTCTGTGGACTCTTATCTCCAATGAACCACCAAAAAAGCTACAAGTAGAGCTGTGGCTCAAGTGGTACAGTGCTAGCCTTGAGCACAAAAGCTCAGGGACAGTGTTTAAGTTGCAAGATGGGAATCAAATAATGAAAAAGACAATTAATAGGTGGGAATGGGAGGGGAAAATTGGGAGAGTATGAGGGGAGGGGTGACATTGTCCAAAAAGAAATGTACACCCTACCTGACTTATGAATCTGTAACCCTCTGTATGTCACCTTTAATAATTAAAAATTTAAACACACACACACAAAGAAGGGACAGTGCCCCAGGACTGGCACTAAAAAAGGAAAGAAAGGAGGGGCTGGGAAGGTGGCTCAGGGGTAGGGTGCTTGCCTTGCATGCTTGAGGCCCTGGGTTTGATTCATCAGCAACACATAAACAGAAAAAGCCAGAAGTGGCGCTGTGGCTCGAGTGGTAGAGTACTGCCTTGAGCTGAAGAGCTGAGGGACAGCGCCCAAGCCTCCCAATGGACAAAAAAAAAAAGAAAGGAAAGAAAGGAAAATGTCCCTTTTACTCCTATTACCTTTCCAAGAAGATAAGGAGCTGGGGGTGAAGTCACTCTGCCCAGCCCTCACTATCTGCCCACATGTATGTTACCTGGACCATGCTGATGGGCATAAGCAGAGAAGCCTGAGCCTGTTTTGCCAGCTTGCACTTAGACCTTGTGCAGATGAGTAGGACAGTGGGAAGATCGATTTTCTAGACTCTCTAGACACAAAGACCTGTCTTCTCCATATTAGGATACTCACCCCACCTCCCACCCCAAATAAAAAGTGCCAAGGTCCCTGTCATGAATGGTTCAAAAGCTATACGAGAGGGCT